GTACCTATTTACTGACTTCTTTTATAGTAATAGCAGACGCATACAACAAAGCCAGCTCCTCAGGAATACGCCTATAATGTGCGACTGTATTTGAGAACATTGGATTTTACGAGATGCAGTCGGCAGAAGTCGGCACACTTTGATTGAACACATCAATTTGACTGTTAATGCTTCATCGCGTCAGTGGCAGTCACAACATTAATAAAGCATATATTATGACTGACGCATGTTAGATTACACGCCACCCAAATGGCGTTTGATGGCCAATCAGACGTTATCGGAGCCGAGCGATGATGAATGGCGCGGAGCAGCTCGAGCTTTGAACGCAGCCTAAAGGTCGTAAATATTCCCCCGCATCTCCCGATCAAATCTACATCTTACTCAGCTGTTTGTGCTCGCTGTTATATTGCCCTGAACGTCTATCTGCCGACGCCAGGTGGGTTAGGCCATCTACATCTCTCCCCGCCATCGTTCTTTGTCTTTTGACAGGTCTTTGCATCATTTGTGTATTCATCACTCTTACCTGCTGTTGGCCACAGTGAGATAGATGCTTAGGGACAGATCATTAAACCCGAGCTTCGGTCTGGTGGAGAGAGGCAGGAAAATAAGATCAGAGCTTTACGAGGATGTAAATGGCGTATCATTGTTCTCCTGGCTTTAACGGAGATGTGAGGTCCAGCTGTTGCACAAATAGTGACCGTTGCAAGTCATTTTAAATTGCTTGGAATAGTCTGAATTGAAAGATCCACTGTCAATTGTTTGGGGGGAGAAAAGCAAGCAAGTGGAGGCTTTGAGTATTCTGTTAATCTGCTGTTCCCCACTCAAGAACGAGTGTCCATTTCAAATGTTAAACAGTCTATAATAATATGTTATAATAAAAAATACCACAAAGGATCTCGGGTTGTAATTATACTGCAGTGCAAATAAAACTGGTCAGACTTTTGGGCCCAATGAAGTTCTCTTTCCCAGACTGCAAGGTACTGTAGTTACTCCATTGTCATTCTACCCATGAGTTGCGGCTGCCAATCAATATCTTATTATCAAGCCTCATCAACCTCACTCTCAATACAGCTATCCTGATGCCAGCCCTGATTAATGCCAAGGTGCCAATACTGGCTCAAGAGTTTTACAGAAACAGCCAAGTTTCCTCTCCATCTCTCCCGACACTGATTAACTCCAAATCATTACTATTTTTTTATTGGATTCCCTTCGTTTCTCAAATGAGACACTTATCTTCCAGAGGCAGGTATGAAAGTCAATACAGTTTGCAGTTGTCATACACACTGGCAGTAGAGATATTTTCCTGCTGAGAAAACGTCGAGTGTCGAAATTTTACACAGGGGTGTTTGTGCGTCAGCGGAGGTTTCGGTGGCTAATCCCGTGTTCCATCGCGGTCCCCACTGGCAGAGCCATGTTGTGAACCAGCAAGTGTCCCGATAGCCTTCTAATAGCTCTGGTAGTACCGTCCCTTCCCTCCGCCTCCGCTTTGATGTCGGCCGCCCCTTCTCAGGCCACCGGCGATGAGGGAATAGCCTTTCATATGGGAGCTGCTGCATGCCCACGGTCCCGCTCAGTCTAATCCGCCAATATGTTTCACTATGACAAATCCCTAAATGTATTGATGTTGATCCAGAGGAAAAAGGGACAAAAAAAAGTTGAGGGCAGAAGTTTGTCTCCCCTCGAGTTATTTCATGTTTTTTTTTATGTTTTTTTTTTTCAAGGAGGGTCGGAGCAAGAAGAGACTGAGAAAAAAAATTGGAAGCGGAAAAGAGGAAGGTGAATTTTCCTCCGGAAGTTAATGAAAGTCCTTGAAGTGAGGCGAGGGAAGCTGTCACCTGCCCTGCTGATAGATAGCAGGCTCACTATTATTAGCATGCCCAGCCTCAGCTCAGTTTTATGCCTTACTAGAGCCATTTGTTGATTAATTAATCAGGTAATGTATGCTATCTGTGCTACAGAGGCACCCACATATGGCTCCCTTGGCTTCTCCTGGGCTCTCTGCAACCGCAGACCAGAATCTCCCACCGGGCCACGGCACATTTGAAAAATTACAAAATTCCAAAGCAGCCATTTGCACAAAGGTCCTGGCTGCTTTTCATGTAAAGTAGAATAATAAACATCCGTGAGGGAAACAGTCTCCCATGCCATGAATATATTCACTTCCACTGGCCCAAAGTCAACCTTGTCTGATCTCATTTTTTCAGCTTTTTAAAAACTGTCAAATAAAGCTCAGCTATGAGGAAGGTAAAAATAAACTGGGATTGAAGCACCGCGGGGCTGCGAGACTGCACAGCGTAATGCTTTCTCCTGTTCCTCTGTCTGAAATTGAACAGGACAGCTCAAAAAAAGCCCATGCGGAACATCATAATCAATGTCTGCGTGGACATTGCTACAGCATCGAGTTACGCTATGTCGTCAATAAAAACCCAGTCCTTTTCTGTGATTATATTTATTGAATTTCTTCTCACGTCTCACATGCCCTCCTGCCTGTATACTTTTGATTATTGCCTTGACTTTACAATCATCAGATTTGTTCATATAAGTGGCCTAGTTTCCACCAACCTGACAATCATAAAAAAGTACAAGATTCGCAGCACTTACATTTTATTGAGTTTTCACATTTGAAACCAGCAACATGCAGTATGGCATCGGTACCAAAACCATATGGGACAGAAGACATAATGACTTATGGGTAGTAAAATATATGCAGTTCCAGTCATTCCGTGTTCAAACAGTTAGTTTAGTGGTTAATTTTTCCCAATTTCTAGCAAAACATGTTCTGCTTTTTAGCAGGCAATAATTTGGCGAGATATCTGTCCCTTCCTTTTTGTAATCTCTGTCATTTTCCAAGACACTTTACAGAGCAGTTGTTAAGAATTGCATGTTATCTCCATGTTTATGCCTCCATGCCGGTGACAGCAGAGGCACGAGGCGTTAGGTTTTTTTGGGTTGTCCTTCCATCTCTATGTGAAAACAATATCACCTCGAGGGAATTTCCTCACATGTTGCAAAAAACATCCTCTTGGATGCAAGGATGAACTGATTTAGAATGAGGTGGTGAGAGGTCATTGTGACCTCACGTCTGTCCCATTCTCGGGATTCAATATGTCAGGAATACCTTGAGAGAATTTTCTCCACTTGGTCTCTCAAGGATTAATGAGGATTTGGTGGTCAAAGGTTACTATGACCTCACCAAACACGTGTAAAGCCATCATTCACAAATTCATATGCTAATAATGATTCCCAATTTTCAAATGTCTGATGGGCTAAACTGTGATGACATTTTGGACGGATGTGGATGTAAACTGCAATTTGACTGGTTGGTGGGTGCATACAAACTCAATTACATTTATATTGTCCCAAAAAGATTTAATTTCTGTCCAACCTTGGTATGATTTGCCTCCAGGTCACCACATATCCTCCCAACACCTGTTAAGTGGCTAGTTGTCTCAATTGATTTGGGATGTAATTAACTGAGTTAAGTTCTTCCCGTCAGTTAGAGCTACGTGAAACACATTTTGTACCATCCCTTCTTTGTGATTTGAATCCCCCCCCCCCCCCCCGTAAAACAGGCATGCTTTGAAGGCTGAGATGACCCAATGCGAACCCTGGTATTAAGCATCCATAATAACCTTAATTATACCATTCATGTCTATGCAGTGACCAATCCTCACCTCTTTTGTAACTTAATCCCTCAACTGTAAATAGCTAAAGCTATAAACATGATGCTCTAATGGTTGCATTCTCCATAGACATAATTAATGAGGCTTTGCATGCCCAAACATATTGAGAACCACACACTGTGGGTTAGCAGTGTATCTGCTGCACATGGTGTACAGATGTGCTTCTATCATGTGTAAAAATGGCCATCATGTGCACTGTCTGTAATACTTCCTTTTTCTGTATCCTGCCGTTTAGCACTTCTGCCACAGCTGGCACCATTGTGGAGCAGCAGGAAATGACATCATACTTTAACGATGTTGCCTTTCCTGTTTTGACTCATCAGAGCGTTTGTCCTTTACCTATAAATTCTCTGCACACGTATAAAGTTGACAGCTGTTCTTCCACCAGCACATTGTTGTGAGTAATAAGGTCTCAGCCAGTGGAGTAAGTTAATAGAGTTGTCCATATATGTACAGTATATTGTGTGTGTGTTTGTGCAGCCCTGTTAACTTACTGTACTCCCTGTCACAGCATGCCTCCTCTCTTTTCTTTTTTCTTCATTCCTCATCATTTTCTCACACCCCTCAGTCAGCCAGGGTCTCCAGTCATGTATTCGCCCGGCACCAAGCTCAGCCGACCTGAGGAATTTACGTTCATTGGCTTGGCTTATTCTCACCTTGCTGTAAAGCTGTAACGGATTTACCGCCGCCGCCGCCGCCGTGTCACTCCCGTCATTAAAATGTAAAAGTTTGCTGCCCAGAAAGTTACAAATAATACCGGCGAGCTCGGCCGTTCCTTCCACTTACATTTCGCCCGGCTGCAGGTAGCTTGTTCCCTCCTCGCTCAAAACTAAATCATGAGCTGTCACTGCTCCCATCACTCTTAAGTAAACCCCACAGTTCAGGGAGGAGACGGGGAGCTCATCTTCCCTTTTAGAAGGGGGGGGGGTTTGCCATTTTCTACTTTTCAGAATCACTGAATCCTCTTTGCTGTCCTGGATGCAGACTTGGCAGAGAGGGAATTCACTACGTTATGAGTTCTCTTTTGATATGGCTTGATGCATTTTGATTGCATTCATATGAAAAAGGACAAGTTATTCTTTCAATAACGAATGGGTGCCCGGGGAGACTCCTCCTGAGCTGTCCTCCCAGTAAAAACCCGACCTGAAGATTTTGACAGTTTGACACTTTAATTTCCTACGGCGCATTTTACCTGAATTTCCCGGACAAAGAAGAGACGTGCTGCTGTAAAAAAAAAAATAATAATTCCATATTGGGTTGGAAATTATTAAAGTTTGGGCCTCAATTAAATCCTCCCTGCCCTTCTCTTTTACTCAGGTTCGGAAAGCACCGGAAGGATGAGCGGCCAGGAGACGGGATGGAGAGGAAGGGCTCCAGTAAATCTAAAGCTGAGGACATGCAGGCGTCAGAGGAGGAGACCATGCGGATGAGGCGGGAACAAGAGAGGTGAGTGCTCAGACAGAGCCCGAGCTCACTAAAAGCCTAAACAATTAAATCCCGGCTGAACAAAGAAACGAGGGGGGAAAAAAACACTGCTGACCGGAAGATTAGCAAACTACCTAATTAGCAAAATGGCAAGAGCAAGGTTTGGAAAGTACTCCGATGTCAATTTGTGAAATGTCCCTTTCTTTTATATCAGTACATTAAATAGATCATTTATGGATTGTTGTTGCCTGTGCCATTCGGAGGCGCTGACCTCTTAATGGTGCTCGTAGGCCCCCGTGGATTTGGCATGATTGAGTGGTGCTCATTATAATAGTGAAATCAATGTCGCCCCTCATTTGTCTTCTCCCAAAGCTCGCTCAGGTTGTTAATCGCTCAAGAATACGCCGTTCCTTTTAATCCGCCCCTCTTGGCTCGCCGTCCTCTGGTGCTTGTGGACATCGGGATGTCCAGAAGAGTAAGGCGAGGCACGGGTTTTGCCGCGTGCGCCTCATCCCTCAAAGACGAGCCCCATTTAATTCTCTCCAGCGGGGGAAAGACAATGCCGGTGGCAGGCCGAATGAAAAGACAGCTTGCTGCCTCCATTGTTCTCCAGCAGCCAAATGAACTCAGTTATCAAACTGCCGTCGGTAATGACAGCTAATTGAATAGAAACAATAGGGCTTGATACCGCTCCCTCTCACGGCGAAGGGAGAAAAGGACGGATGGCATGTCGAAAATGCATGGTAACACAAACGCAAACAAGTGTGAGCACAGAAAAAAGGAAGCTCACAAAGGCCCTCTTTCTTGCTGAATGGAACATCTGGAGGCCTCGCTCAAAAAAAGCTGTAGCGCATTTCTTGTTGGTATTCAACTACGACTTACAGCGATGGTCCTCTCCATTGAGGGGAGCGAAACCCCTCTGGCTGAGGGCCCAACACATTTCCCTCAGTGCACCCTGGAGACCGGCGGGCCTGGATCTCCATCCCGATCCGTCCCCTTTGAGAGGCTCCCAAAGGACTGCCATGCTAAGCAGCAGAACCAACCCAGACGCACAGTGGGCACGAGATATGTAGAGTACATGCTCTCACAACCCCCCTCTCCCCCCCACAAACACATACACACTCTTAAAATTCCGCTTCTTCTGTCTCACCGCCGCCACCCAATCTCTTTGTCCGCTACTTCGTCTTGCGGCGCGCTCATTCCCTGTCTTGTTTGTGTCCGTTCTGCATGTGTGAGCTCCGCCTGTGCACGAAGGGCAACCTAATTCTTTCCTTTTGTACCTGTTCCCAAATACCATCACTCAGCCAGGCCAGGATCGTAGATCGTGGAAAGGGAATCCTGAGGGAAATCGTGTTAGGTAATAATAAACCAACCTGCCACGAGGACAAATCTATATTCAAAGCATTAAGGTTCAGCAGGACGACAGCTTAGAAATCCATTACTTCTTGTATTTTTTGATACCGCTACTGTATGGCACTCCCAAAGCGCTACATTTGATTGTCTTAGTTGTGTGCTTTATGGCACATGCTCTGATTGATTACAATGCCGCCACGGAGGCAGTGCGCTTATGAAACTATGGATCGGACCGCGGCGGGTTTCCGGCGCTGGTAATCGTCAGCCGGCCCTGCGTGTCAGCGCGACCCGGGATGGCCCGCAGCCAAAACCCCCGGCTCGGCTGACATTAGCGATCGTTAATTCAAGCAGATGGTTTTGACAGGGGCTTTTAGTGATTCAGAATAGGAGTCAGCGAAGAGGTGAGACAGATTAATTCGTAAAACTTGCCCTTTCTTACCCTGCAATAAGGCAGCTTCGGTCATATATCTAAAACTCTGACCTTGATATGATTCGTGCAATTTATGGTTTGGCCTGCGGCCCTTGCAGATGGAACTCGTTTATTTTTCAGTAAAAACATTCTCCTCCATTGATATCTTGTCAGCCTCTTACAGATGGAGGACGATGGAGAAGAGAGTACATCAAACTTTTGACTTGCAGACAGTGCAGTGCATCCACTTGATGAAGAGTGCTTATTAGCAGCATTTGTTTTGCTAGAATCATGGAGATTTTCACACAGCTCCTGTGATTGACTGTTTCATGTCTCATCGAGGCGACATTAGAACCTGTGGTTAGGCTGATCCAAGTCTTTGTTCGGGGCCAGCGGCGGCAGCAGCCATTATTCCGCTCTCTTTATGCCTGTGGACAGCACCCAAGACAACCCTCTCTGATTGGCTCATGCTGAGAGGACTGTGGACAAAACAAGCCCTCTGATTGGACCTTAGGTGGGCTGGAGAGCAGCGGTTTCTGTGGCCACGGCGCACATTCATGTAGGGCCAGGGGGGGAGAAGAGAGAGAGAAAGAACACTGGGCAGATGGTGTTGGTGGAGCTTCTATCAGTCACTGACTTATCTCTGCGCATGTTAGCCCCGAAACTCTATTTTCCCGGCCAAAGAGGGGAGCACACAAAGACAACCTGACAATGTTCCTTCTTCATTTTCCGAATGAACTGAACTCCATTCTCGCTCGCTGGCAGCTGATTATGATGTCCATTCTCTCTTATCTGCTTGGCTCCGGTTGGCTTCTAATCAGCGGCCAGCACTCCACTGCCACTCTCCCCAGACCACTGCAGAGTCCATCACTGCTTTTTTTTTCTTTTTATATACTCGACAGTGGCCTGCTTCCCCCTGTTTGTTGTTTGACTTCCCGCTGACTCTGGACAAACACAAAGTGACCAGTGACTCTTGAGTCGGTCCATCAGCACAATTCATATAGACAGAGAGCAAACCTGGATTAGCCATGACAATTTAATCTTTTATTTAACAAAAGAGAAGTTCTTTTCTTATACCTTGTTCAGGGTACATTGAGCTTAGTGCCGCCGATAATAAAAAAAAAATAAAAAAGTAAAGCAATTTGCTATAAGGCACATCCCTCGTATTATAGTGATTGTGGTACCAACATTATCATTCCACTTTGTCAAACCATCTCATTATTTCAGTATCCTATTTGCGTCTCATTTGCATAGCGAGTTCAAAGGAAGCTCCGACTGGCTGATTGGGAAGTGTGATTACATTTGTAATTATATTGATACCTACAGCAAGTTAATGCGATTGTTAACACTGTGAATTAACACCACGGAAACTCGGACAATTATCTCGGTGATTGCATTATGCGGTTGTGGGCCAAGTGTCAAGACAAAAGATGGGATATCGGAGTTTTTTTTTTTTTTAGCAATTCAGCACAGACAGCTGCACGCAAGAGTCATTTACTGCACTTTGATTAGATCCAGATACATTCTGCCCTTCAGAACAATAGAACATGTGAGGAGGTATTGAAAAGAAGAAAAAAGGAAACATCTGTTGAAGGTGGCTGGAAAGTAAGAGAGCAAATACATTCTGTTTCATCCAACGCGGTAACAATGAATATTGAGGAGGAAGGCTTTCAAGCTTCTAAGTGTGTTGACTTCAAAATGAGTGCCTGAAAGTACAGACAGCGCCCGCCCCCCCTCCCCCGGGTAGATCACACATTGACAAACATATGGAGAAGGAGTCTGCTGGCTTTGTTGGTCCAAAAAAAACAGCCCTGTTGGATAAACAGAGAGATTTATTCAGTATAGTGAGGAAAGAGTTGAGGTGAGCTGACACACCAGTTCACACCAAGCTTCTCGTTCCACCCATATAATGTGTAACAGTATTTACTCGATGTGACAGTCTTCGGCTTTCACACTCGTGTGAAGATGTGAAGCTCTGGCGACAATATCATTACAAATTTCGGTTTTAGTCGATGTGAAGGTATTCACACATCAATTTAGCAAGAATGAATAACAAGATAATATTTATCTTCAAGACGTGGTCAGTCAGTGTAGTTGGGGATGAACTTTAACTGCCCTGAAAACCTCAGCATTAGACTGTCTAGACCGCTTTTGTCGCCAGGAGGAAATGCCTTTCCACTGCACTGTTATGAAGAATAAACAAGTAGACATGGCTTTGTATTTAAAGCTACATGTGAGGTCAATTATACTTCCTAGAATATAAAGTAAATCACAGACGGCACAGAGAAACACAATAAACTGATTAATAGTGGAATTATATACTTTTCTGTCATCAGTCTAATTAAAATGAAAATGTAAATCCTCAGCTCGACCGTCCTCTTTTTTTAAATGAAATATCTCCGGGCTGGTTGCATTTAAAGCTACAGTGTCCTCTCCTCTTGTACGTAGTGTCTGGTAAGAGGAGAGGAGAGGGGCTGGTAATTGGGGCTGAACAGTAATAATGTGTTTAGTGTGGGCAGCACTTTCCTCAATGTTAACATGCTGGGCCATTAATTGGCTAATGGAGTATATATGGTACAGCGCGGGGGTGGCCTCTCAGGAGAAAGTGGGGGAAGGAGGGGAGTTGGAAGTGAAGCAGCAGTTGCAGGTTGCCCAAGAAGGAACTCAGTGAGCAGGTGTGGATGTATGGTTTGGAGCTAATGAGCATATTACACTGCAGAAAAAGGGCTTCCAAAGTCCAGCCCGGTTTCCTACAAAGTACATTAATACACGACTAATTTGCTCGATATCTTTCTGAAACTCTGCGTAAAAGTCACTGGGAGGAGGTTGGGTTGAATGATGTAGATATTGTAGCTAAAACAAGTGGAATATGTTGACAGTGACTATTTTGCAGATGCAGTACTTTCACTATTTATTTATTACTTTGTTAAGTTGATAAGACCAGACTAAGATTGTAGAGCCACACTATCAACTCTGTCAGTCTGCATTTAGACTTAACATTGCTTTGAGCTAAATGTTAATGTCACACTGCTAACATGTTTACATTTAGTGGATATAATGTTTACCTTGGCCGACGTCTTAGTTTAGCATGCTAGCATGCTTACATTTGCTAATTGGCACTAGTAGAAGTACAGCTGAGGCAGATGGGAGTGTCAGTAGTTTTGAAGGTATTTGGTCATGAACAAAGAACAAATTTGATGATGGTGTTTGATGAAAAGGAAGTTCAGTGTTCTACAATTCATCCTGAGGGGAACATAAACATGACAAAAATGTAACCGCAAGCTATCCAAAAGTTGCCAACCTCATGGTGGCAATAGATGAAAAGTTAATACACCAGAGGATTTCTCCTCCGCAAACCATGATTTGAGCTAAAATGTCATGGCAATCTGTCTTGTAGTTGTTAATATATTTCACAGGATAGGTGAAACCTTTGAAAATGCTAACACACCGCTAGATGAAAAGTCATGGGATCACCAGAATCAGTAGGATTCATCATCTGGGGACCATGAACCACATTTCATGGACATCCATCCAAGAGTTGGACCAAAGCGGTGGACCAGCATTGCCTCAAAAACATGCACAAAAATGTCATCCTGGGTGGCATTCCCAACCAAACAAATTGTATAATTGCACATTGATTTTTAGATGACTAAATCCCTGGTAGTTTCATTCCTTCAATCGGAGACACCTAGCAGAAAATATGCACTTGGAAATGTAACACTCAAATGTCAGCTTGCCATAATGAGACCCACTGCCAACAGGCCAAGGGAAGAAACTTAACACTGTATGATAGTCCTGCTATTTCCATCTGACAGCCAGAACAAGTTGGAATAGGCCTCTCACTGCAGACTGACAGGTTTGGATTGTGGATATTTTTCCACAAACACAAGAATGTAATGGTCTTTTGTACCAACAAAAGAGCCATGACTTCGCCAAAGACAAATGTGACGAATGTGATGCATTGAAAGAAAAGCTTTGGTTCGAAAGTTGATGAGTGTATGAAAGCAACAAAGTTACGACGCAAGATGGACCAGATGGTAGAGACCAACCGGGCAACAGCATTACCCGCATGTGATCTCATTTGGAATTTTTGCTTGTTAATAACCTTTTATTGAAATGCTCCTATTAGCTTTATCCATGTCAGACTCCCGAGGCCTGGAAGAGAAGTCTCTCTTTTTAGCTTCGTGTCGCCAGTCTAGCCAAGGCCATTATCTCATCCCAAATGTCAATATTGCCGTTTTTATGAATCTGATTAGTCCATAAAACGCCAGAGGGTTTTGAGATCCCAGCGGACTTCCGTGAACCTGTGCCGTAACATCATTGTCTGGTCCTTCCTGGCAGTGATCTGACATCACTTTAGCCAGACGGCAGGTGAAAGGGCTTCTGGGAATTTGTGTTTTTCTCCCTGGGAGGCTCGTTTTCTATTTCCTGACTGAAGTGAGACGTCACCGATCAACTCCGCTGTGAGTTGATCAGTTCTGTAATGTGCCCCGGTTGGTCCGTGCCAATGCAAAAACACACTAAACCACCTCAGAGGCTTTTACAGATGACTGCATATCATGCAACATTGCATCAGGCCTCCATCAAAATCTCATTCCGCAGATAATGCTGAGAAAATGGGATTTTGGACAGCTAAAAATAAACAAGGCAGTCTATGGGTGGGATGTGGGAATTGGGTTAATTCGGCATTGAAGAATGGTGATTGTTTGAAATGTGATTACTGTTATTAAAATACACAGACATGGGAGAGAGAGTTAGGCAAGGGGGGGATGGATACTAGCTCTGCTCCAAACCTGTCAATCATCTGTTAGTAGCAGCAGTGGGGGGGGTCAGAGGTCAGTTATGACCCGAGGTAATGGGGAAGTCTTGCACCAGCGGGAAGTAGCGCGCTGGTGTGTGGATGTGTGTGTGTTACCCTAGAGCAGGGGTACAACATCTGGAAGCAGTGAGCAGTCTGGTGGCTGCTGCCAGGGTCACCGCAGTGGGAGGTCAGCCCCCCCCCCCCCCCTCTGCCTGCCCTCAGCCCTTCTCCTTGCTGCTCCCCACTGTCCACCTCCCCCACTCCTCCACTGCCAGCTCTCCTCGCTCCCACGCAGCACCATGACTGAACCTTGTTAGCTGCGGACAGATGGGCGTTCACATGGAACCATTCTCCGAGACAGGAAAAGACCCCGTGAAAGGCTCTGTTGTGTGGAAGTGGTCCTGGGGAGAGGAGCGGCATGAAGGGAGAGGAAGGGCCTGGATGGAGGAAGAGGAGGTCCGTCCGTCTCCCCTCCCACCTCTTGTTAGAGGACCTGAGGGATAAAGATCAGTGCACTCGCCGCGGCCCACTAATGGCTCATGGAAAGCCACATATTTGAATAATACTGCTCTCACTACAGTAGAAGACATTATTCTCCTCATTCCCTGTTGCTTAGGAGAAGAAAGCTACTTTAGAAGTTAAAAGAGGAGAGACCTCTTCCTCAGGTCTGAGCTGATCGATATCTGAGATTAAACTTTAAAGTTGGAATGCTGATGCTAGCCTCGCTGAGTTTTAGGCCGAATATTCCAGTCAGTCTTTTTACTTTATTTTATCTGGACATCCTTCATTGCCTCCTTACAGTACATTTCTCACACACTTGCCTCTCAATACCTCAAATATCATCAAGTGTCTCCTTTTTGTCTCCTACTCGGTACAGTTGGTCTGCACAAAGAAATGCGTAAATTTCGTAGTATCTTTCCCAGGCAAGTTTAATAAAAACTTTTCCTTTCATATTAAAAGAACATGAAAACTGGATGTTTCCATCCGCAGAACTGGAACAAATATTGTATACAGGCTCCCTGAGCATGAAAATAAACGAAACAACAAAACGTAGAAATAATCTCTTAAGAACCGATTAATATTGGGCAATTTGATATGGTTCTTCTGCACCAGTTTAAGTTGGCCAAATGCATAGTTTCACACAAAGGCGCAGAAAAGGAATTGGCAATATTTTACAGACATTTCACACCAACCCCTTTTAACTGCGTAAGAATTATACCATTTGTTAAGGCTGATCATCTTAGTCATTTTTGACTCTTCAAATGTATATCCGGCACAATTTCAGGATGTAAAAATATATTTTTTTAGATATATTCATGTATTGAATTTTGGCATTTCTTGAACATAACATTAATTTTGCCAGATGATTCATGAATAGAAAACACTTATATCTAAATTTCTCTGTTCAATGTGTTTATCACAGAATACATGTCAAGATGCGGGAGCTTCGGGAGAAGCAGTCAATGGAGAGGGAATATGCTGAGATCCAAGACGTTGTCGGCGGTACCTTCAGCTCAGATGAGGAGCCCACCTACGCCGGCATCGGATCGTTAAACTCGTCGGTGGATAGCAGCGGCATGGAGCCTTACAACCACCACTACCATCTCCCCCAGACACCCCAGAGTCCTCCCCTTCCCTTGAGCCTACAGGGCAACGGTCCACCCCTGGAGGCCCTGTATGCCCAGGTCAACAAGCCGCGCAATGGACGCCCTGCAGCTCCAGACAGGTAGGGGGCGCCCAAAAAACAGTCCATATATGCAGTCGCTGCAAGGCCGTTGACTCAACATACATGTCCACATCCACCGACACTCAAAGCTTCACAGTGAGCTTTGTGACTACTACCTGTCTCCTTCATTCAAAGGACACTAACTAGCCTAGTGCCTCGTGCTTGAGCTTTGCAACAATCCAGTTCATTTACACCTCATGTATAATGTATCAGCAGCGGTGTGTTTGTATTTGCTTTTACTTGTCATGCATGGCAAACGCTGCACAGAAAAACAATGAATTTCTCACAGGGTTTTATCGCTGCCTCGTCCCACGAGGCATTGCCCCGTGCAAGCAGGCGGAATCGACAGGCAAGTTAAAAAAAAGTGAACAACAAGAGCCTATCAGTCATTCTCCCTGTGCTAGAATTTAATATCAGGCAGTCCTTTTTTTTTTTCATTATCCTTGGATCACAGGTAATCCTCCCCGGCTGAGAGTCACGCTGCATGTGTCTTCAGCTTGTTTGTCGCTGGGGGGTTGCATCGCACATAACCTCCGTGTCAACACATATTTGATGTGTCGACAACGCCATGCAGAGCTTTACTTTCATATGTGTGTGTCGATAGCCTATTGCCAAAAGGCCTGTGTGAAGTTCGCATATATGGTATTATTAGTGTATTTAAGCTCCAGTGAATGAACTACAGCTTAACAAAGCCTCAACTAAGTATTTTTTCTTAAACTTAATGCTTGTGACTAATGCTGATTTAAAGGAGCTCTGAGGGTCACAGGTTTCCCGTAGGTCACATCCAGTGGTGACAAGTCAGGAGATTTCAATTCCCATGGTCTCCCAGAACCTTTCGTGGTGTTATTAATGGGTCGGATAATACCCACCTCCCGTGATTGACAGCTGTCACTTGGGGGCTTGTGACCTTTCAATGCTGGGTTCAGGTGGGGGCGGGGCGGGGGGCATGTGCTACCAAGCTGTGTGTGTGACCGAGACAGAGCACCTCTGTGTGAGTGTGTGCGTGTGCTTTTTTATCGGAGGATTTACAGAGGTAGAATCTCCACCCTGTAACACACCCATGACAGTCAGAGTAGATATGACAAGGTTATCTGGCCCCTCTGATAGCCAGCTAAATCCGTGTGCCAATACATCCGGGGCTCAGTGAAGGCCACTGATCCATATGTCTAAAGTGAAGGTTACCTCCACGTGTTTCCTGTGGATAGCCTCGTTGTGTCAGAACAGCCATCTACTGTCAACTATCCCGCTTCCCCAAGCACAATCCAATGATAAGCCTGAAAGCCAGTTGAAAATGAAGGCTAGACGATGCTCGACTGGTGTTCAATGAGTCTGTGTAATCAGATCACAAGATGTTGGTCATTGATAGATATGATGCTATTGATTGTCAATAGGCTCTGTGCGGGGAAAAGCCTTAACATAAGACATGATTATTATTGGGATGTCTCCTTCGTTGCCAGAGGGAATATTAATAGCACTCTGCTCAGTGGCTCTCACAGAGAAAAAAAGAGAAACAAAAGGTATGCAAAGGGATCCTGCATGAGGGGTGTAGTTGTTAAAAGATGCTTTATTACTTAGATATAACTTACTTAGAAAAATTATTTTTAAATACTTTCGGGTGCCAAATTCCCTCTGACCATCTGGATGGTGTTCCATATTTTAGATGTTTTTTGTAATCTTACAAACTGTATTTTTCGGTTAAAAAACAAATACATAATACCACGCATTAGGTCGCCTCTGAAATTCATCGGTTTCAAAAAACAAACAACATAAAAAAAAGAAGACCCTCTTATCTTCTCCTTCCTGCTCTCGTGTTTTAGCGGCTTCCTGGAGATTGTATTTTCACCTTCACAGGTTTATTTCAGCACAGAAAGCTACGTGTGGCATGTTCATTATAAACACAAGCTTATATTTGGTTTGGGGTCTGAGCTTTAAGTATTGATAGAGCACTATAGAGTTTTATTTGCAGGGACCGGATTAACTGTCGCGAGTGTTGTGATTTGATTTGAAATATGCGCCGCATGTTCAACACTGCATTTCTGCTTTGCACCTCTCACTGCTTTGCATATCTTGTGTATGCCAGCCCGGCCGTACGCCTGTAATATTTGTCTTGCTGCCTTTGAGATATAATAATAATATGCACTTGTTCTTATTTAGCTCAGAGGCTTTCTATTTACGATTTGCAGAAAAAGGAGCTTGAAACACATTCAGATTCAAGACTCCTGTCACTTGCCTATCATAACAAACATAAACAGTAATTTGCATTTCTAAATTAAACTTATTGGAACTTTCATTGTCAAGTAGAAAGCGTCGACACAACAGAATTTGCAATTATTTCCGCCGGTTCCATGTATCAAGGCTGCAAAATTGGATTGAGAAGTTTTGTTTTGCCATTTTGAGATCCAGTGCGACTTCAAATGTCTTCACTTTCTAATCCTGCCGCTGCTACTTAACCCAGTATTTTGGAGCTGCAGGACTTCCTGTTTGAAGGAAGTGGAGGAGGTTTGTGCAGGGAAGGCTTTTCATTCCCGTCTGTCAGTCAGTCGTCAGAATGAAAGAGAAGAATGAGTTGCGTTTAACCCCGACCTGGATACTGTTACCGCCTTCTGAGGTGGGCCCCGGAGAAACACGCTCCGATCAAAGAGGTAGATTAAGGATCACATTTTAAAGGGACATTTGAGTTATTTGCTAGCCGAGTCATATCTCATGGTCAGACATCTGACAGCAAGCCGGCAACTTGTAACACCCCTGAAGGAACTTCTATACAACATGCAAAAACAGATAAATTAATGTAAAATCACACTGCTTAGTGCCTCTAACCCGGATTTATTTTGATTGACAACCCTATGCTGTCTACAGAGGCCACAGTGTGGAGCAATGTACAATTCCAAAATGAGAAGATATTCAAGCATTTCATACCGTTTGTTTTTTAGTTGTATATTTTACACAAACACGTATAAAATACATACAAGTTAAGGTAACCCTGTAGTCTGTTGTTGGCTGGCTGTTTGCTAGCATAGCAAATAACATTATATGGGGATTTTAGGTCATCTGATAATCAGATGACCTCTAGATGCGTTGTACTACTGCACAAATCTTACCTTGTACAATTGGAAGCAAATTGAGTTGAAATTAGCTGACAGCCTTCCGTTTATTTTTCGCTCTTCTTTAGTGAAAAACCTGAACCGTGTGTTGGAGGACGACTACACTCAAACTAATCAGCATCTTCCATCTAAAAGCCACCCAGTCAAACATTTGCATAGCTGGAAAGACATCAAACAATGCTGGTGTACCCAGGAGTCTGAGTTCTCATCGCTTTGTTTACTGTACATCCCTCGGTGCTGTCATTACAAGACGTTGTTTTTTTTTAATCCAGTCAGCTAATTAGAGACACTAAGGGGCCCTTCGGTTGATGTGGGTTGGCGCTCCTTTTCAGAGGAGGTAGGGTACTGTACGTTATAGTTTTGCATCTTGGACTCTTTTTATACTTAATGTGTTTACACACATGTGCATTCTTTTTGTGCCATTATAAAGTCGTTCGCCCATGACTCGCCAAAGCTGTTTATTCACTACAGTTAATAAGAAGAGGTTGCAGCTGGATAAACAGACCAGGATACGCCTCTCTCTCTCTCTCTCTCTCTCTCTGATAGACCTTTGCTAATGGAGCCCTAATGGGAAGGTCACTGTGACTGTAAAAGCGGGAATGAGTCAGACCTGAGCCCATAAACCCCTTGGAGATACAAGAACCCCTGGTTGCTGTGGGCGTCTACAGATCCTGCCCATTCTGCCATATCGGGTTTTACTGTTCCTTTACGGGATCACGGTACAACAAGAGCTCGTTTGACAATTTATTACCAACCTCCACGTTATTAGAGCTGGCAGCACCAGCGGTGTTTTGACAATGCTGTCAGACTCCATAAAACTGAAGGGCACCAATAGAAATCCAGCACCCATTCCCGATCAGTTGTGTTAAAAGCCTTATATAAAGCAAAAGTAAATATCGTTTTTCACCCTAAAACCTGTATGAATCCTGCTCTATTACCGGGTTTAAATGAAAGGGAGCCAGACGGATGGTGTTTTCTTTTTCAGTTGTTTGGTTTCACCTTATGAAAAAAAAAAAAAAAAAAAAGTTATAATAGAAAAAATAGAATGACCTCATTTCTCGACAGGCAGCCGACAAGTCAACCCCTCCATCTGCTGAGGGACTGGGGGGGGGGGTTTTGGGTGACTGCCGTTGGATGCTGCGTTTCAGAACGACAACCTGACAGGTGCCAAGCTCGATGGGATTTGTGGGAAGCGAGCGTGAAACAAAGCATCACCTTTGAAAGCGCAATTTGATTGACTGCTGCTCCCATTACCCAGTCGGGTTTCTAAAGCTCCTTAGAGAATGGGCGAGGAAGAGTCAGAGAGACACCGAGAGGAAGAGGTGGGGGGGGGTAAGCAGGGGGGGAAAGAGATATGGAGCTCAGCGGTGCAAAGCCCTTGAAGTCCTCTGCGAACTCAGCAGCTCCAGAGATGCTGGCAGGCAAGCAGCAATGAGAGAAAAAGAACCCTCAGAGTCCTCACCTACAGAAACTAACTCACTATGGTGTTTTTCCCTTTGCTCTCTCCACTCTAAAATTCAGTCAGAACCTCCACTTTGCACGGTCTTGAAATTGGATTATGAGGTAGCTAATGCTTTTTCCGCAGTTGATAAAAGGTCAGGCTTTTCATCTCTGGTGAAAGTTTGTGAGGTGCCCCCACACCACCCCACCCCACCTTACCTTCGCTCCCACCACCTCGCCACTCTCAAGGTCCAAGACGTCAACTCGGGAGTTGGTTGATGTTAATCTGCTGTGAGACACGTCCACAGCTGTCCACTGTGGTTTAAAACCCACAGGCCGATGGAGCCTTTACCCTCACTATTGTTTGGATCATCATCATCACGATGAACAATTCATTTTATCTGGTTTCCTTTCGACCCCGTCACGTTTTTTTGGGGACGAGAACATCACAGTGCCATTCCAATGGGGACCCATAATCATCAGGTTTAATCTGCGCTGGTTTCTTTGAAAGAACCATTGGATGATGCGATTTAGAGTAATGCAGATGGGGAGTGCGTTCTTACGAACCTCGACGGCCACCGGGCCAATCCGAAGCAATCGCTTTTTTTCAAATCGTTTGCTGTTTCTTATTTGGCGTCTGTAATTAACTCCCCAATCAACAATCACTCTCTGTGAATTTTATGGTCTGTATTTTCATTTAAATGCAATCAAAATGAGATTAACAACAATCTCTGACTGCAACATCTGTAGCTTTGATTAAATCCTACCTCAATAATTCATTGGTAAACAAATGAATCTTTTACGAGCCCTGCATTAAGACTTTAATAACAGCTCGTAAGTCTCTAAATGCGTTTTCTTGTAGTTCTCAAGGGAGTAAAATTGATATGTCTAGCATCAAGGAGCAGTTTGCTTTAATGCGACACGTGCATTAGTGGTAACTAATTACTTTTTACTCACTCATTGGTATCTCTGTTATTCCAGAGTGTTTCGTCTGGTGTATCCAGTTCCTCCCCCTCCTGTTGGCTGCCAAGCTAAACACGACTTCCAGTCGACGCAGACGGTGTCACGTTTTGTTCCCAGGGCCATGGCAGCATGTTTCGGCGCTGCCTTTTGTTTGTCTCTGACATCCACCGGCGTTTTTTTCCATTACTCCCTCTGAGTGTCCTTGTGTGGGTGTGTAATTAGTGTCACAGTGACTGCGTGGAGCGGTGCCTTCTCCTGCTCCTAATTGAGAATAAGAAAAAGGACACCGAGCTGGTGGGAAGAGTTCATCTGGGATGTGATGCCGGTGTAATGAATGAGCCCGGGTGAAGCCTCTGGTTCAGCCGTTGTTGCCGGCGGCCGCAGGACGTCCTCGGCACCTGGTAAGCCAGTGTAGGTGATGTGTCAGTCCCCACACAGCTTTGGAAAAATGTGAACCATGTAAACCCTGCAGATGTGTTACAAAATGAGGGTGCAGGTCCAATATACAGGCACATTCTCACACTGACTTTTGCCCTCTCCTCCCAGCTCGCTCTGTGCTGTGGCGATAGTGCAAGAGCCCTAATGCACCAAATGCACATCAGCCTTATCGCAAGGGTTCTACACTGATAGCAACGTGTATCTCCCAGGCAAAGCAAATGAATTATTTTTCTGGTCTGCTTTCATTTTTATTTTATTTTTTCCGCTTCGGAGAGGGCCCGGTGGGATGGATGTGATGAGATGGAGCACACAGAAGGCAATTTATCCTCCGTTTGTACCATTACATTCATTTAAGAAAGCAAACAGCCTGAAAGCAGATCGAGAGAGAGAGAGAGATATAGACCCACCTCGCCTTCAACTCTACATCAAGTGGACAAGCTGATTGAGGTTGCATGTACAGTATGTATTCTATCAACATCCCTCAAATGGGAAGCCTGGGAGCCATGCATGCAGTACCTAATGAATTTGAAGATGAAGGGAAAGGGGAGCGTGCCATTTAGGGCAGGCATGCCCCAGCAGACAAAATGGGGAGCAGAGAAGGTGGCGGGGGGCTGGATATGGCTGAGGGGTACCTGAAGCTTCGTTTGCTGATCGGCACCGGAGGGCATCTCGTTACCGGCAGTCAGCAGCTGCAAATAGACAGTTAATCCGCCCTCAACTCTCCTGAAGGCTGCCGATGCCGTACCGACTGTGCCACGCCGAGGAGAGATTAGCAAAATACACAAACTAACAGGCAGGTTTTTCCCACACAATTTAGAGAGAACGCCATGATTTGTTTTGAAAATGTCTCAGCCACTAATGGGGAGAAAGCACACGGACAACATGTTAGCAAATGCGAGACGTACTTTTCTCTGAATTCATGGGCTGAAAAATCGCTTTTGATTGATTAACACGCCCCGTGGTGCTCCTGTTACGTGAACATGTAGGCTCCTTTGTGAGAAACTCTGGTTTTCACATGATGGATAACCCAATTTCATAAACTAATCACGGATTCTCTCCGCTAAGAAGGAGTCACTGCGTTCAGCCCCGCCGCCCGCCGCTCTCACACAGCGGCACCAGAAATAGATCAGGTGTGGAATGCGATTGAGAGGCAGGTGACTGCGGAGCACGGGCTTGCACTATGAACCGTGGAGGCAAGCAGATGACTCTCATGCCTCCTCACGTTGCTTTCATCTTAAGTTACGCCGAGTGTCAATACACACACGCACAGGAAAGTGACCTCGAATACAGCAGGCAGGGACGCTAACTGCTGCATTTTTGCCTTCTGTGCTCTGATGTTTGCCAGCCAGGGGAAGTGATTGTTAACTTTATAATGAAAGGGAGTGTTTAGGGCTTCCCTTCTCTCTGTGTATACAACTTGTAGAAGACGGGAGTGCAAAAACGGGGTGATATTAAGGAAAGTAACTGAATAACAGTGAGTACAAAAGAAAGGATTAGATTAATCGATTTGTTGTTGAATCAAGTCAATATTTGTCTTTGTGTATTAGCCAGTGTTGTCCGATGATGGAGGTTACTTCCTGACTCTTCATTACAACAGAAAAGCTCCCATACAGTGGCCTCTTCTGTTCATAGTAACAGATGACTGGACCAAATCACACCATGTTACGCCCATATACAACAAACTGCAAGTTTTCTCTGAATTTCGTCTTCTCGTTTCATCTCCTCGCCTGCGTCCTCAACAAAGGACAGACAAGGAACCACCAAACAGCCAGTCAGCCTGCCTGCCCTCAGATGCCAGAGGGTACTGTGGTTCAGTCTGTTTTTAGATCATGTGTCTCATCTGTTTACAATCCAAGAAATCAAGGACTGGTAGTTTGTTGATGTATAATCATCATGCGCTTGCAATGCCAGTGTTGGTTTCACCTTCTTGACTTGCACTTTCACATACATTAGAAATTGGACAAAGCAGTAAATGAATGTATTTTGCATGCGGCCGTCATTTCTAAAAGGGCTGACTGCTGACCCTCATCATTCCAAACATCAGCGCCTCAGCTCTCAGCGACTGTTACGGCAGTAATGGTGTCATTTTGAATATGAGCACAATAATAATAATATGTAATCAGGTATCGCCTTTAACCACCAGTATATTACAATAAAATATATATTCTCAAGAAAACCTTCAAGCATAACCTCTTACTGTCATTCCCTCTGTGTATTGACAGAACCCACACATATTTGCTGTTAGAAAGGGTTCAAATCAATACCATTAATAATGGACGAGGCCACTAAATAGTATAGACAGAAGAGATTTAGGCCTAAAAGTTTAGTACTAACCAGTGGCTCCTGCATCAATTACCAGACTGTGGCCTTAACACTATTTTTTAAGTGGTCGCTGGGGTACAGCTGTATCGAGAAGTTAGTCCATTCTAATCGAAAAGCCAGCCGGTGTGTACAGGGCACATAATTAAATTTACCTTGCCCACATCTGAGCTGGCGAGCATGTGCACTCAACACCGAACGGCATTAGTTCCCTCTATTTTAAGAGCAGTATCCATATTCCTTTTGTCAGACTACGCCATTGTCGATCCAATCCCCGTGCCTTGAACAAGCTCCCAGCGGCAAATCGGATCTCAGCGAGAGCCTTTGTAATTACAGGGAGCTGAATGGGTGAATACGTCCCAAATCCGCAAGGCCATCCAGCGACACATTCCATCTGTCTTAAGCTCCCTTCCAACATTTGAGTTTGAGTCACGAGGAGGTATTTAAATAGTGCACATCACCACCTTTTTTTTTTCTCTCCTGCTGTTTACATGGGAATTCTTTGAAGTCTTTTGAAACTTTTGCACAAAATTTGGTCTTTTACCGTGTCATGAAAAATGAAGGCCTTTCACATCAATTCTGGAGAAATAATTGTTGTGGTATAATGGGACTCTGTTCTGATTTAATATGTTGATAACTTTGCAGTGTGGATGAATAATCCTCGGCTATTGTAGACATGCATTTGACAGCTACACTATATTATGAAGAAGCACTGTCGGATATATGGAAGTTCATAAAATGCCAATGCAGGGAGATATGTGTGTGATTAATCGTCACTTAAAATATAACTAATGTTCATGTTTCCACATTTCACAATAGGAATTATTTGCTTGGTTTTCATGTTACACCTCTGGCTTCATATATTGACAGCCAGAGATTTTTCTAACTTGCATGTCAGCAGAGTGAATAACCTGTGGCCATGCAGTGAACATGGAGCTCATTCCTTGACTATTACCCCGTCATCTCACACAGGTAGGATGTAATTAAACTTGTAGAATATACCAAGGGAAGCCCCAGGGCTTCTCCGTGTCTTTCTTTCCCCAGTGCAGGCTGTGCTGGGGCCACGACTCGGCTGTAGGTCCCCTCCAGCAAAATGGGACAAGTGCTCGGTTAGGTCCCCTGAGCCGGACCGGTTTGAGCTCACTGTTGGACCTAATAAAACCCTGTGGGGGCCTCCAGACATCTCTAATGCCATCAGCATGCCTGTAAAAATGCTCTTAGTCCCTTGCAGCAGCGTAATGGCAGCACATGGCCTCGTTGGTCCGCTGTAATGGGCTCCATGATGTCATCACGGATCATCACGGAGCCAACGGTCTTAGAGCCTGGCCTGCTTTCAAAGAAAAGCAAGCATATTCGAGGGAATTGCATTCAGTTTCCATTGTATGCGCTGTGATTGGTGGGGTTTGTTTGTGCCAGACGAAATTACTGGAAGTTAATAACCAACGGTTTTTAACCTAGTCAGCCTTATTGAATTGGTTCACTGATTGGACCGAACGCTGTGTAGGTCTCTAGCAATAAGCTCAGCTTTTCCTCTCCCTTGCCCCCTCCTATTTTTCCAGCCTGGAGTTACACACCGAATATCCGGCTTTACATTAATTAAATATTGTGTTGAATATGGTTTTGAATATATTCTATTGTGGAACAATGTTTTTACGATGTTTAACGACCAGATATTAGATGTCAATACTTGCAATCTAAGAAGCAACTAACTTACAAAATGATCTATAACCCAAAAGCTACAACTTTCTGTCTATTTCAAGCTGGATTTAAGTACAATTTTAAATTGCTTAAGTTTTTTTTTTTTTTATCTGTTAATACCCATAAGAGTGTAACATATCTGTGTTATTGCTGGTTATTACCACCTAAAAACACTCTCTTCGATGCACCATCCCTTAGCTTCTCAGCCTCTCCGGCTGATGGTCTGTAAGCGTCCCGGTGAGAGATGTCATCCCAGAAACACTTGTCTTCTCGGCCGTGATTAAACATAAAGAATAATCCCCATCCTGCAGTTATATGGCCGTCATTAAAGGCTCACTGCCGGGCCGACCTGCAGTTGCTTTCACCCGGGATAATGGCCATGTTTTAGTGGTAGTCAGGGACGTCAATTAACATCCACATTGGTTTTTTGACCTTTCGTAGGAAGTTGTGGTTTATCCGTTGCATGTCACTGAGGCCCGACTAGGTGATAAAGCCTGTGATTTCAAAGCAGTTCATGGCGGGAGTATTTTATTTGTATTGCGGGGCGTGCGTGTATATGAGGGCACAGCCATGTCCGAGAGCGGACGCCCGCGTTACCGTTCTTACTCCGGCGCGCGTCAGCGTCTGTCATTTATTAATAATGTATCACAACGGACTGAGAGATGATTGCGCAGGATGACTTTAATAGAGTGCCTGATAGTGGGGCTTAAGAGTCCTGACTGGAAACGGAGCGGTTCTTGGATGATGAAGCTGACTGTGGCGGAAAAACACCACTGGAGCGTGTACGGTTACATCTGTAGAATTGCTTCCTGGTGGGTTGAGGTAATGCCCTTTCAAATACGTGCTTCATGTGTAATTATGGTGTTTGGGTTGCACCCCTCCACAGGGAGGTCAGAGGTCAGGGTCAGCTGTAAAACTACACCTCGAGACTAAGTAACAGCTCACTAGGGTTTGAACATGGTCATATTGTAGTAGGAACATTTTCAAGGCTTTGTTTGACACATGCACACAGTGGAGCAGTCGTTGGCAATGAAATTCTGGTTCTCCCTCCAACGTTACTGCAAAATGTATAACAGAAAAGCATGCGCCATCTTCTCCACAATGATTTAAAGGAAGAAAGCAGTTGTTTTGTACGTTTTTATGCTTAACATTCCTGATGTCTGACCGATTTATCTGAAACATATCTTGTTTTAGATGACTTCCTGTTCTTGCCAGTGTGATTAAATAACAAACAACTTACACAAAGTTGATATGCGTTTGCTTGCTCATTTATGACAATTGGTATTTCATCGCTGTTTCTTTTCTTGCGTCAACGTTTTGCTATTGTCATAATTAAGTTGTTTTTAAAAGTTTCCTTGTTGGTGCATTTAAAGCAAATCAAAAATTAGTAAGTTAATAGTCAGCTGCCACACAGTACCGCGTTTTAAAGGGGCATTCCACTGATCAGTAGTACTATAACAACTACTACTACTATTCTGTAGTAGTATAACTACTACTACAGCCTGTACACACATCTTTATGGTACCATCTGTTGCTTTGAAGCGTTCTGTAGTCTGACATAAATAGCCCTGATGATGTCCGGGTTATTGTCTGGAGGCTTGCAAGTGGGTGGAGTTAGAAATATGTGAGCTTTTAAGAGACAGGGAGGTTAAAATAAAATATGCCGAGTTGCATTAAGGGAATTGTGGGATCCGCTGTTTTTACAAGGGACTAAAAGTCAGGGTATCCCTGCTTCTGACAAGCTCATATATGAAATGATTGTAAAATCAGTATGTCTCAATTATTCATTTCTTAATAATCCTTTTAGTGGGATGTTCATGACATAGATGAAAAAACAAATGCCAGTTTGAAGATACAGTATATAACAATGGCCGTTCCGAGTTCTACTGTTACCTCGCTTTCTTCCTCTGTGCTGTCCCGCAATTCTAAATCTTCCCCTATTGGGACAAGAAACTCTTGTCTGTTGGAGGATCATGTATAAACTGTTGTTATGGCTGTTGTCTCGCTATGCGTCTTCATAATCACAGTAAATCTCACCAGACATCTGTTTGACAGCAGAGCCTGAGTCATGGATATAGCGAGGTGCTACATTGTCAAAGCGTATATCACCATGGAATGATTCTCTCGGTCGAGTGAGATCATAAACTGTGAGATGGGGGAGGTTAGAGATTCCGTCATGGGCCGCGGTACCTGTGCGCTCCCTGAAGTATAGCTTTCATTTTTATCATGACAGGTCGATATTCATGTTAGTCTGTAACGCATCCGCCCTCTTATTATGTGTGCCGCCAAATTCATCAATGTTTTTAAAGCACGCCTAAAAAACCACTCTATAAAACTCGTCTGTTCTCCAACGAGCATCGTGACATTTTGCAAAATATTATCAGTAATACCTCGGAATGTTCTCCATCAATTTTCGCCTCTTACAAAACTCTCTTTGCATTTTCCGCAAGACCGAGAACATCATAAATTGATAGCAAGGCTCCAACCCTGGAGCAAAAGTGATTTATAAAAGTGATTTAAGACAAGTGGAATGCATTCGTCTCTTGGAACTAACATGTCTTACTACACAAAGATATTGGGAGTGTGGAAAATGTTGTTACAGCTCCAGTAGAAAAAGAGATGGTAAATTTCAATTTTTGCATTCATTATAATGTGGAGAAGAACCTACAGTTGTTCACTTCCTCTATTCTGCTTCATTAATGCCCCTTTCTCTCAGTCCACATCTATTCTCATTCTTTTCTCCCTTTTTCCTGTTGCGTCTCCCTCGTCTATCTTCCCCATTTTCCACCAATGCCAGGGATACTGAACGAGCCTCGTCTACCGGAGCCATAATGAGCATGTTCGCTAAAGCACTGATTCATCGGAACAAAGGGCGCCGGAGAGAGCGAGGGAGAAGGATGGATGACAAAGGGGAGAGAGGGAGAATAAGAGAGAAAGAGGGAGAATCTGGAGTGTACCCTTGA